GGAGAAACTTCCTGACAGTTAGAACAATTAACCAGTGGAACAACCTGCCTCCAGAAGTGGTGAATGCTCCAACACTGGAAGTTTTTAAGAAGAGACTGGACAGCCATTTGTCCGAAATGGTATAGGGTTTCCTGCCTGAGCAGGGGGTTGGACTAGATGACCTCCAAGGTCCCTTCCAACTTTACTACTACTACTACTATTACCATTATAACTACTACTACAACTACTATTACAACCACAATTGATCCCAAAATTTCTGTTGCTAAATGAGACATTTGTTAAGTGAATTCCCCCCCCCATTTTATGACTTTTCTCGCCACATTTGCTAAGGGAATCCCTGCAGTTGTTAAGTTAGTAACACAGTGATTAAGTGAATCTGGCTTCCCCATACACTTTTGTTCGTCAAAAGGTCGCAAAAGGGGAACAAAGGATCCTAGGACACCATCATAAATATGAGTCAGCTGACAAGAGACTGAATTTTTATCACGTGACCACGGAGGATGCTGCAATGGTTGTAAGTGTGAAAAACGGTCATGTCACTTTTTTCAGTGCTGTTGTAACTTCAAATGGTCACTAAATGAACTGTTTTAAGCCGAGAACCTGTATTTCTAAGAGGGTGTGTCAACGCTGTAAACGAATTTGGCTGAAGCCATTTTCACTTAGTTTTCGGTTGCCAGAGAATTGGGAGAGGGGAATGAATATTTTTAAGTTTAGATAAAACAATAAATTGTCCCGTGAGAACCAAGGTCATTCATGACTGTTTTTTGGCGGGCTACAGCTTCCATTAGAAAGCCCACCAAAGTAGTTTTTTGGGGAATGTGATTTATGACATATTGCTGGGCTGGGAAATTCAACTTTGTAACATTGTAACCTTTGGGAGGGAACTTCAGTCTTGGTTTCACTTTTGATCTTGCCAATACTTTGTAGCCAATAAATAATGTTCTTTAAGGAAACCTCCTGCCTTGGAGTTCTGTTTTTACTGGTCTCATCTATCGGAACCATGACAGGGTGAAGACTTAGTGCATACAAATTGATGCCTGCTTTGGTCCCTCTTATGTCAGGCTATAAGCCACGTCCTACCGGTATCGTAATTCCTTGTCACAATTCCGAACCTACCTGCCACGGCCAATGCATCTTCCCGCACGTCACCTTCATCTGGTTGATGGATATTCCAGGATGTCAGAGGAAGCGAGGCAATTTCTTCATAGGAAGTGAGCTTGACCATGTCCATGTGGCTGCTTTGGGGCTTGTACCATGGAATGAAACATGCTTTGCCTTTTTGAAAAACGTCTTTGATGATTTCATTGGTCTGGACCTCATCTGGCATGCTCAGGAAGACTGCAATGCGCCGGGAAGCAAGGTAGCGAGGATGGACCATCACCTGCTTTGAGAAAAGGAGAACCTGAGATCAGATTGACTGAATGTCAAGTCAACGTTTATTACAGTCAAAGACCAGAACAAGTTGAGAAAACACTCAAGAAATAGAGATAGTCCTTGACTTATGACCATCATTGCACAGAAGAGCAACAAAATTGATTACACGACTGGAGGCTAAAACATATAAAAAACAGTTGCTGGATATGTCTAGCTGAATGAAAAGAAGGACTAGGGGTGACATGATAGCGGTGTTCCAGTATCTAAGGAGTTGCCACAAAGAAGAGGGAGTCAAGCTATTCTCCAAAGCACCTGAAGGCAGGACAAGAAGCAACAGATGGAAACTGATCAAAGAGAGAAGCAACCTAGAACTAAGGAGAACTTTCCTGACAGTTAGAACAATTAATCAGTGGAACGGCTTGCCTTCAGAAGTGGTGGATGCTCCAACACTGGAAGTTTTTAAGAAGAGACTGGACAACCATTTGTCTGAAATGGTATAAGGTCTCCTGCTTGAGGAAGGGGTTGAACTAGAACACCTCCAAGGTCCTTCCAACTCTTTTACTCTACTCTACTCTACTCTACTCTACTCCACTCCACTCCACTCCACTCCACTCCACCCCACCCCACCCCATCCCATCCCTCTCCACTCCACTCCATTCTTATTCTTTTCCAATTCTTATTCCATTCTATTCTATTATTTCAAACAATAACAACCCATTACATAAGGAGTTTTGTCAGGGTATGGAATGCATTCCTTTTGGGTTTTCATCTAGCCCCCATTCTCCTAACATTCATGAAATCTCTAAATTCTTCTTAAATGAATGTTTAGCATTGATGTTGTTAGGTTTTGGTATGTTTTTAATTTTCTGAGCTACTTTGAAAGCTCATTTGAGCAGGACAGTGGGGAGCAAATCAAATAAATACTTCATTCTGAGCAAAGTGAAAGTTCATAAAATTTCTTATAATGCATACTACTTCCAAGTGCACTGCAATATGCCCAAAAGGTGTTTATATGTACAGTAGAGCTATCAATCATCATGATAAAATAGATTAAAATATCCTGGAAAATTATCCAACCACTGACATGGTAGGAAATTGAATATCCTTCAGATTATTGCTCCTTCATTCCCACAATTGCTGTTGCTGATTGAAGCAGAACAAAATTTTCTGACCTGTGATTCCTTGCCAGAAACATAGGTTGGATGAATTGGCTCTTCCTACTAGCATGATCTGCTTGGCATTTGCCTACTTTGGTCAATTTCACATCTACCGGTAGTCTTATCGGAAAGCTGAAGCTTCTCAATTTCATATCCCCTTAGTTAGTTTCTCAATGAAAACAAAGAAATTCCCAGATTTTCATTTTCAGAATGAAGGATGAATTTTCCCTTAGCATCACTTCTCAGATGAAACTAATTGTATGGCAAGTTTGAAATCAACTTGAATTCAGCCGTGCACAGAATTATAGAATCATAGCACTGGAAAGAAGCACTTCTAGTCCAACTCTAGTCTAGTCCAAGGCAGAAGACTTTGTACCACTCCAGTTAAATGTGGTCCAGCCCATTTTTGAAAACTTCCCCTGATGGAACACCCAGATCTCCTGGAGGCAAACTGTGCCACTGAATAATTCTTCTCACTGTCAGGAAATTTCTCCTTAGTTCTAGCTTGCTTCTCTGTTTAATGATCTACCACCCCTTAGTATTTCTTGTCCTGCCCTCTGGTGCTTTGGAGAATGAGTCAATCTCCTCTGTGACAGCCCTTCAAATACTGGAAGGCAGTTCTCATGTCTCCCCTAACCCGTCTCTTCAATTGGCTAAATACACCTAGCTCCCTCAATCAGTCCTCATGCTGAGCAGGGGGTTGGACTCGATGACCTCCAAGGTCCCTTCCAACTTTATTATTATTATTATTAATTTAGGCCAGTGATGGCGAACCTTTTAGAGACTGAGTGCCCAAACTGCAACCCCAAACCCACTTATGCATCGTTGAGTGCTGGGTGGATGTGGCCCATTGGGTGGGCGTGGCCCATTGGGTGGGCGTGGCTGCGGTGGTAACGGCAGACTGGGTGGGACTAAAAAGTTCAAACAATCAATTCCAACTTTGCAAGATCTTTTTTTTTTCCCCGCGAGAAGTTGAAATTGACTGATTGAACCTTTTTTTTTTTTTTTTTTTTGCACAGGGCGTTGGAGGCCTAAAGCGAAAAGGTTTTATAAAACCCAGCTGAAGGCCTAGGACTGGGGCGACGGTGCGTGTGCCCACAGAGATGGCGCTGAGTGCCGCCTCTGGCACCCTTGCCATAGGTTCGACACCACTGATTTAGGCTATGGACCCGTTATCACCTTTGGTTTTCATCTGTTAGGGCCCCAAAGACCCTTGAGTCACTCAGGGCTATGTTTCTTACACACACACACACACACACACCAAAACGCAGTGACACACACACACACACACACACATACACACACCAAAATGCAGACAGTGACAGCACAGGCTGGATTCCTTTCACTTCTCAAAGCCAGATTGTGGTTTGCTCAAGGCGAGCGCAGTGGGCGTTGGGGACACCACCTCAGGTGACCCACTTCCAGTCCGTGACTTCTCAAGCCCGTTTCAGCTTCCCTCTTTCCCTTCAGCGCGAAGCACTTTGGCTCCAAGCCTACTCTTACGGTCCAGAGGCGGAGCTGGCAATTCTGACCAGGTCTTCGCCCTGAATACTGTATATCCGCTCCGGGAGAGGAAGGCAGAAAGGCTTCAGTCCGTCCCCCACCTCCCCAGACCCGCGAGCGCAGCGCCGGCTGCCTTCCACCGTTGCCAAGTCCCCTGTGCGCCCACCCGCTGCCCTTTTCCAAATCCCCTCCTTCCCTCCCTCGGAAGGCCAGGCCCTAGTGACGTTATGGGGGCGGGGGGAGGGAGAGGATTCTCAGTCGGGAAGGGGGGAGGAAATCCCCGGCTCTGCGAAGTTCTTTGGGCACCGCTTCGAGGCGCGCGCGTGGGCGCACGGTTTTCCCCAAGAGCGCGCTTGGAGAGGTCCGCGGGACAGCGCCGGGGACTTTCTCGCGTTCTGCGGGCTGGGCGGCAAGGCCACTGGAAAGGAGAGGGTGGCTCCGTCCGGAGAAAGCCAGCATCCGTTCTCCCACCGAGCCCCTTGCCCACCCACCTTGCCGGCCAGCAGGCGCGACTGGCGCAGCTTCTCGGCTTGGCTCAGTTCTTTCAGGCGGCGCTTCAGCTCCGCGCGCAAAGCGCGCTTGGCCGCGTTTAGGGCAGCCATGTCGGCCGGGCTTGCAGCGACTCCTCCCTCCTCCGGGCTCTCCATGGGACTGCCAGAGCAGCCGCCGCCGCTTCTGCCGACCTAGGGGAGGCGCCTCGGATCCGGAGGAAGGACTGAGCGGAGCCCTGGGAGGGGTCTTTCCCGAGGTCCCTGACCAGGAAAAGCGGCCGCTCGCTTCCCTTGACCTGGAGAGGTGCCAAAGCAAAGTGACGGCCCCAAAGTCCAAAGACGAGCGATCATTGATTTGTAACGTGTGAGTGAGTTGCGTGGGTTGTTTTTCTTTAAAGGATTATTTATTAAGCCGACATGTATCGATTTCCCCCCACCCTTTTTTTGTTTTAGACAAGCCTCTGCCAGATATGTGCCAGGGTGCAAGGGAGCACGCTGGCAGTTCTGAATGTGGTTGATAAAACGGAAAGGAATAAAAGACGCGGTTTCAAAGGTGATGCAATTCCTTGCAGCAACTGTCCTGCGCCCGGTTCGGTTTGTGCATCCCACTTCTGCAGCTTTCATTATGGGTGGGGGGCAGCTCGCTGCAAGTTCTTTGGGGATGACCGCCCACCTGTTGAGACCACAAACTCCCTTTCTAGCCGATGGCGGGTGATGATGGGCGATGCCACTTTAATAATAATAATAATAATAATAATAATAATAATAATAATAATAATAATAATAATAATAATAATAANCAAATATTGGAACACTGCTACCATGTCACCCCTAATTCTTCTCTTCATTAAATTAAACTTAATTTGTACGAGGGTGCTGCTTTTTGTAGATTGTTTTTAATTGATTTAGCTTAGTGTATTGTGTGCACCCATCCTTTGTAGGTTGTATAGTTTATAGGGTGGTCCACCTTTTCACAGCTGGAGGTTATATGTAAGATTTTGGCGGGTGTTGGGATGGTGGTAGATAAAATGATTGTGAGAGAAAAAAAGTTGGACAACGAGGTGCAAACTTTGTGGCATGGAACACACTATTTCCTCCCAAAACATTCCATTTTCCCTCTGGAACAGGGTGATCCAGTTGCTCACGGATCCGACTGTTCATTCCCATCTGGAACATGGCAACCAATTTGCTATTCTGGGAGATTTACTTTATAGACTTTTCAGGAATGGCCAGAGTGTCCCATTCAGAGAAAAATACAGAATGTTCCATGCTTAGAATGAAGAGTTTTGCACGATATCCTGGAAGATGGTCAAAAGAGGCTCCAGGACTACACTCGGCCCTAACTTCTAGCTCTGTAAGATCAGTTCTGCTGTATTCTGTATCCCTATTTCCTGAAGAAATTATCACCGTGTTATGATTTAATCTCATAATTCAAGATTATATATTCATAATTAAGCAAACAATAGCCAAGCATATGTGGACCCAAGCAATGTTTAGTGGTAAGGTTGGCTACAATTAAGGAATATAATGCCTGTAGTCCACACAGTGAAGATTGGAGGAGCTGTGGTTGAATGCAGCTGGTCTACTCTGGGACACTACACATCCTCTTCACAACCTGTTTTCCTTGTTCCCTTCTGGGAGGAGGGGGCTTCGTGGTATCCGTAGCAGAACATCCAGATTCAGCCAGAGTTTCATTCCATACAGCATTAACCTTGTGAACTCTCAAGCCTCCTCCTTCCGTTATATATTCAAGATGGACAGTATTTAATATTTATTTGCTACGTATATGTAGGGATGTGGGTCTATACATATGTTGTTCATAGTATGTTTAGGTTTGTGTCATGTATGTGTTTCACTTTGAGAGCGGGCAACTAAATTTCATTTTTGATGTGTGCCGTTGTGCCCACAGTAAAAAAATGACAATAAAAGGTTATCTTATCTTATCTTATTTTCTTATCCAGACAGCTTCTGGGACTGAGTTTGGCTTAGATTTCCTAACCCAAGAGTCCGTCAACGAAGCAGCTAGCCAGTTTGCAGGAAAGAAGGACCCCTCTCTGGCTACTTTTGTGTAACACACCAACATAACACAGCTCCATGCTGCTTAGAGATGGCTAGTATCATAGCTTGTATTACCTACGGTAGCCCCACCATTCTCAGAAATCTTGAGCATCATCCTTGACAAGATAGAAGTAATGTCTATGTTGAGTTGCTAAAAGATTTGTTTTATTGCACACTAACATCTGCACGCATTTCCACAGAAGGGAAAATATATATTATAAATAACATATAAATAAAGTTTGAAATATAGTATTCTCTCCCCCCCCCCCTCTTCCCACTTGAGCTCAATAAACATTCTCAGTCTTTTGCAGCTAAGAGGAAATGTTTCTGGAAGTCATCCCAGGGTAACATCCTCAAGAAAGCATTGACCAGGTTTATGAGTGATATTGATTGAAGAGGGAAAAAACAGCCAAGAGCTTTGTCTTCAAAGTGGACAAGGATATCCAGGAGCTTTTATCCTCAAATTTGGTAATAAAGCCGTTGTCCTGTCAAACAAAGAGAAAAGGATGATGAGAACCAGTTTTGTCTAATGGGCCAACACAGTGCTGGGCTGCATTAACAGAGGGATAGAATCAAGATCACGTGAAGTGTTAATACCACTTTACAAGGCCTTGGTAAGGCCACACTTGGAATACTGCATCCAGTTTTGGTCACCACGATGTAAAAAAGATGCCGAGACTCTAGAAAGAGTACAGAGAAAAGCAACAAAGATGATTAGGGGACTGGAGGCTAAAGCATATAAGGAACGGTTGCTGGAATTGGGTATGTCTAGTTTAACGAAGAGAAGGACGAGGGGGGACATGATAGCAGTGTTTCAATATCTCAGGGGCTGCCCCAAAGAAGAGGGAGTCAAGCTGCTCTCCAAAGCGCCTGAAGGCAGGACAAGAAGCAATGGGTGGAAACTGATCAAGGAGAGAAGCAACCTAGAACTAAGGAAAAACTTCCTGACAGTTAGAACAATTAACCAGTGGAACAACCTGCCTCCAGAAGCGGTGAATGCTTCAACACTGGAAGTTTTTAAGAAGAGACTGGACAGCCATTTGTCTGAAATGGTATAGGGTTTCCTGCCTGAGCAGGGGGTTGGACTAGATGACCTCCAAGATCCCTTCCAACTTTACTACTACTACTACTATTATTATAACTACTACTACTACTATTACATTTTATTATTATTAAATGTAACTAACTATTATTATTATTATTATTGTTGTTGTTGTTGTTGTTGTTGTTGTTATTATTATTATTATTATTATTATTATTATTATTATCATTATTATTATTATTATTATTAAGGCACCTGGCCAGAAACCAGGAGTTAGCAAATTCTAGCCAGGCATAAAAATCAGCTGGGTGACTTTGAGCCAATCATAGAAGACCATGAGTTTTAGTCCCACCTTAGGCAGGAAAGCCAGCTGGATGACTTTGAGCCAGTCCCTCTATCTGCCTTGAGTTACTTGTACAAAAAATAAAGGCAGGATATACATAAGTAAATAATGACATGGTTGTTGAGATCTGAAGGGGTGTTCGTAGTGTATAAAGCCGTGTTCGGCCTTCTCCTAGTGTTTGTGTGAACCCAGCTGTTGTGGCTTGGATCTCCTTGCTAAGCATCTTATGTCTTCTAGTATGGTGCTGGGGCCGACCTTCCTGGGACAATAACAACTTTAAATATTTCATACGAACAGTAAAAAAAAAATGAGCCAGATCTGATGAGATCTCTTTTGACAAGAGTTCAAGTCACTTTTCCTTACGTGTTAATTATGTCATTTTTTAAACATGGCAGTGTTTTATTTTGATTTTGGAGACTTATTGCTGCCGTCTAGTGGATTTGGCGGTATTACAGTGCCCTCAAGAGTGGAAGGAAGTTTTTGAACAGACTTAAAGAAAAGAGAAAAAAAACCCCAAGCTTGCAATTTTTAAAAAATCACAGATAATTCCAAGATTTTTATTCCAGCAAGAAGAATCTGAGAGCGTCACGGAAGCTGCTGGAAGAATCAGAAAAAGGCAGCTGCCTGTGTTCATAGAACATAGAATAACAGAGTTGGAAGGGACCTTGGAGGTCTTCTAGTCCAACCCCTTACTCAAGCAGAAGTCGCTATACCATTTCAGACAAGTGGCTGTCCAGTCTCTTCTTAGAAGCCTCCAGTGATGGAGCACCCACAACTTCTGAAAGCAAGCCCTTCCACTGGTTAATTGTTCTCACTGTTAGGAAAATTCTCCTTAGTTCTAGGTTGCTTCTCTCCTTGATTAATTTTCATGCGTTGCTTCTTCTATTTGGTAGAAATTGAATGGAAACTCCAAGGGAAAAGCACAGTATACTTTAGATGTAAATGTCGCTCTCATATACACCCACTCAGACACCTCAGTACAGATCAAGATTAATAGGGGAACAGTCATACACAGGAATGGAGAATTTTTACAATTCCCTGAAAGACAGATTAGGGGTTTTCCCCAAACATCAAAGTAAAAAGGCCATTTTAGATTCGCAGAGAATACAGCGAGAGGTCTGTTTCTGTTTGATTCACTTTTGGGGAATTCTGCTTTTTTTAAAATGCAGGATCATTTTTTCTTTTCCTTGACTACAGTGTGTCCTTGAAATGACGGGACAGAGAGAGTCCTGTCTGAAAGATCCCAGCAAGGCTGCTGTTAATTGAGAATCAACATTTTCAGGATTGCACTGTACTTTGCCCATGTTGTACCCTTTGCCATGTTTCATGGGAACACAAAAAACAAACAAACCAGGCATTTTGCAAGTTCCTGTTCCCTTGAGGAAGAAGAATATGCTACTGTGTGTTTTTTTTCTTCTGCTATGGAAAGTTTCTTTTGCTGTGTTTCAAAGCAAATAATTAGCAAACATAAAACCTCAATTTAGACAAGCCAGAGTTTTATTTAATATATAACTTGTTGCCTATTAGGTGCCTGGAAGATTCTATTTAAAAGAAATTTATATATGTATGTTTGTGTGTGTGTATTGATAGGTAGGTAGGTAGGTAGGTAGATAGATAGATAGATAGATAGATAGATAGATAGATAGATAGATAGATAGATAGATAGACATACACACACATACACATACACATACACATACACATACACATATACACACACAGAGAGAGAGAATTTTAATAAATGCCAATTACCCATTCAGAAACAAAATTCCAATGAGCTGCACAGTATTATTACCACACTATTGAATTTTTCTGATCTTTAGGAATAATCTTACCCATATTGCATAGAAATAAACTCTTTGAACTCTCTGGGGTTGCATTTTAGACCGTACTCTATTGGCTTGTGCTGTCGAGTTGTACTTGATAAGACAAGATTTACTAGAATATTCATTCAAACCCCTAGTCACTAATGTGAGTTTTCCATTTTAATATGCGAGTAGATTTACAGATGTCTTTATATTTATCCCGAGTTTATTTATGGACACAGTATACAAGACTGCTGTTATAAGGTAATGTTTAAGCAAACAATGCAGTACCCTAGACACTGTGAGATCAGTGGAAAAATTCAGTGTTGTTAAATTAATAAAAGACGCACCGGTATGCTTTACGCAGTTATGATTGTGTTAAATTAATATCCATTCCTGTGAGCTTTTGGTCTCGCGTTCTGCATGAAAGATTAGTGAAGCTAAAAGGCCAAACGTTGAAGTCCAAAGGAGAAGGGGCTGGAGAGGATGAGATGTTAGTTAGTGTCATTGACACAATGGACTTGAGTTTGGGCAGAGTCAGAGAGACAGTGAAGGACAGGGGGCTGGCATGCTGTGATCCATGGGGTCACGAAGAGTCAGACACAACTTAGCAACTTGAACAACAAAAAGACAAACTCGGGCTGAGGACTTACCCATCCTCCATTGTCGCTGATCCACTTTCCTTTGGTGCCCATGATATAGTCTGTGATGAAATAAGAGATCTGTCTCAGGTTTTCTTTGGCCAAGGGCCCTTGCAGTTTTTTGGCCAGGATTCCGCCAAACAGGAATATCGTCAGAATGCGTCCCCAGTTAATGGTCCCATCCGCAAATTCGTTTTCCATCACTTGATTGAAAATGTCATTGGCTTCCTCTACAGAATGAATCTCCAGTGAGTCCACGTAAGGTCTCAGGTTGCTTTCAACTTCTTTCTGAGCAGAAGATCCAGCTTTACGTAGGACTTCAGCAACTCTGTTCGGGGCTGCTGCAAGTTGAGCCTCTTGGCAAATGTATTTCAAGTAATCTTGCACCAAGGTGTTCACATAAAGGAAATTGTAGCTTTCCATTTGAAAAAAAAAAACAACAACTGCAGAGAAGAAGGAAGAAGGACTTGGTTCTTCGCAGTGCTCTCGAGAATGTGTGGTCCGTTGCTGGATAATTCACGAAAAGACTTCAGCTTTTTCCATCCAAGGGTGGAATTTTCCTTTTTCAAAACCTTGTCAATAGCCATCACTGTACGTGTAAAATATCCATATGTAAATCAACATAGCACATGTGATTAGGAAGTGAAAGTTTGTGATCTGAGGGAGGGGAAAAATACAGCAGCTGTGTAGCTGAGCCTTCTAACATGATTTATTCTCCAAATGCACTTAGAGGAAGTGTTGTAACCCTCCTATATCAAATAAAACATAAAATAAAATCTGGTTTAAGGTTACCAACTCCAGGAAGCTTATGCTGGTACAGTAGCATGTGTGGGATAATATTTAGACATTTCACTAACATACTTGGAACATGGCAATCCACACTCTTGTTTCTCTGTTTTTTTTGTTTCTTGTATGTCAAGATTTTAATTTCCTTGGGACAGGGATCTTTCTCTGCCAAACACGACGGAGAGCATACGTGGTTCTGGTAATTATTGCTATTACTCAGTACATAGCTGTATGATAGTTATTTAAGAATGGGAAATGGGTAGTTCCCGAAATCATGGAATACCAACTCAGACAAACAGTCAAACAATAAACAACAGCCTAATCTAGGAACGACCAAGAACTCTCCCATCAACATTGACAGGGCAAGCCACGAGTAGATAAACAGAGAGCACATTTAATAATAATAATAGTAAAGTTGGAAGGGACCTTGAAGGTCATCTAGTCCAACCCCCTGCTCAAGCAGGAAACCCTATACCATTTCGGACAAATGGCTGTCCAGTCTCTTCTTAAAAACTTCCAGTGTTGGGGCATTCACCGCTTCTGGAGGCAGGTTGTTCCACTGGTTAATTGTTTTAATTGTCAGGAAGTTTCTCCTTAGTTCTAGATTGCTTCTCTCCTTGATTAGTTTCCACCCATTGCTTCTTGTCCTGCCTCCAGGTGCCTTGGAAAATAGCTTGACTCCCTCTTCTTTATGGCAACCCCTGAGATATTGGAACACTGCTATCATGTCCCCCCTCGTCCTTCTCTTCATTAAACTAGACTTCTAGCACTGATGATGGTACCTAGTCGGGTGATGAAATGTCTGCAAGAAAACAGCCATGCTCAGAGAGAGCACCAAGGGCTCCTCAATTCAACCTGAGCTACAAATATTACTTTCTATTGGTACTTCCTCTATACTCTGCTAGTTTTTTTTGTTTCCTCCTGTGCTCTTTTTTCCAATTAGGGCTTCCGTATTTGGACTGGAAAAAACCAGGCATCCACCAGATGGTAGCCAAGATGTCCATATCTCTCGGCTGATATCTAGCAATCATTTTAGATCAGCAGTCCCCAACCCCCGGTCCGTGGACCGGTACCAGGCTGCGGCATGCCAGCAACCGGTCCGCACAAAGAAGCAAAGCCCCATCTTTGGGATGCAGGCAGCATACAAAACCACGCACTCTCTGGTCTGTGGAAAAACCTTTCTCCATGGAACCAGTCCCTGGTGTCCCAAAGGTTGGGGACCTCTGTTCTAGATACCAGTAGCCCTCTTTCCTATCCCCTTTTTACTTCTTCTTTGCTTGGAGCTCCTTGGAACCAAGTTGGGCTAAGGCCCCAAAAACAATGCACATCTGTCTTTGTGAAAAATGAATAGATGTGCACTTATATAAAGGGTTGCCCCTTTAAATCCTATCCAGCATCTTTTATCTTTTGCCCAAGAGGCAGTGGAACTTTTTGTTCTTTCTCATTTTGACACAACCAAACCAAAACACCCTTCCTAGTACATATAATGTGATGATTTATTGCCATCGGGGAAGTCCCAGCTTGTCACAGAGGTAATAGAAATAAATTTATGACAATGGTTCTGCATTCATTAGATAAGTGGGTTGCATCCTGTGCTGGAAAAAAAAAAAGCTGAAATAACAAGAAGTTGGAATTTCCCAATCTTCCCATTTCATATCTGCTGTTCCGTAAGCAGCCCCTACTGCTGATTAAAACTTAGATCCCCATCCCTCTCTTTGCTGAAATGATCTAATTGAAGCCCTTGTATCGACTGAATCAATAAGCTGCTGCTCCTCCCAACCCACAAAATTAAGAATTAAGCCCTCCTCCCAACCCACAAAAATTTAAGAAAACCATTACAGAGGGCACAAAGCCCAAGGGCCGTGTTCAGAGAGGGTTATGATGTTACCCAGATAGCGATCTCAGTAATGTAGGAGGTTGCAAGAGCCCTGGTGATGCAGTGGTTAGAATGCAGCATTGCAAACTAACTCTGCCCACAGCCTGGAGTTCGATCCTGGCAGGGCTCCAGGTTGACTCAGCCTTCCATCCTTCCGAGGTCGGTAAAATGAGGAGCCATATTCCTGGGGGGGGCAATAGGCTGACTCTGTAAACCGCTTAGAGAGGGCTGTGAAGGACTGTGAAATGGTATATAAGTCTAATGCTATTGTTACTGCAGGCTAACTCTGCTCACAGCCTGGAGTTCGATCCTGGCAGGGCTCCAGGTTGACTCAGCCTTCCATCCTTCCGAGGTCGGTAAAATGAGGACCCAGATTCCTGGGGGGGCAATAGGCTGACTCTGTAAACCGCTTAGAGAGGGCTGTAAAGCACTGTGAAATGGTATATAAGTCTAATGCTATTGTTACTGCAGGCTAACTCTGCTCACAGCCTGGAGTTCGATCCTGGCAGAGCTCCAGGTTGACTCAGCCTTCCATCCTTCTGAGGTCGGTAAAATGAGGACCCAGATTGTTGGGGACAATAGGCTGACTCTGTAAACTGCTTAGAGTGGGCTGTAAAGGACTTTGAAGCTGTATATATGTCCAAGTGCTATTGTCACTTAGTTATAAGTCACTATCTAAGAGCATGGTTGTGCAGTGGTTAGAATGCACTATTGCAGATTAACTCTGTCCACTGCCAGGAGTTTGATCCTGACCGGCTCAAGGTTGACTCAGCCTTCCACCCTTCTGAGGTGGGTAAAATGAGGACCCAGATTGTTGTGGGCAATATGCTGACTCCGTAAACTGCTTAGAGAGGGCTGGTAAAGGACTTTGAAGCTGTATATAAGTCCTAAGTGCTATTGCATCATAAGTCCAGGGGATTGCTCAGTTTAGAGTAAACGCAAAGTCATAAATATTTCTAACTAAATAAAGGACGCTAAAGGACCATTAAGTTCAGAGCTGAGAGTTATTAACTGCCTTTCCAGTTACGCTCTAGCTTTCCAACTGCCTTCAGGTTTAGTAAAGTACCTTTAAGGTTTATAAAGTACAATCGGTCGTTGCACAGAGGTGTAATATTGTGGTGCTGCCTTTTTTTGTTTTGTTGTTTTTTGGTGGGGAACATAATTACTGTCTCATTATTGAATATTGTGCATTTTCAGCTACATGGCACAGTTTGCAGCTTAATATGAACCCAGTTGTGCTTTAGTCTACAAACCCCAATTAAGCAAAACCAGGTCGTTGAATGCTGCATTTGTGATTAAATTTTGGTTCAAGCATACGCTTACCATAATAATGACATGGGGGAAAGCATCTGTAATTACTTAAATATGTGCAGCGTTCATCTGCTTGGCTTTGGAGGATCAAAGCTGCTGTTGCATTCATAGAATATACAGTATATCTGATACATATTTCAAGCAAATAGGAATTTTGGCAGCCCTGTCCTGGTTATGCTGCAGGAGACTGCCACCTAGCAGCAAATGACAGATTTTCAGGCCACAAAGAAAGATCTCCTCTAAGAGTAACAAATGTCATTTTTAAAAACAGGGTAGGACGGGGTGATGAACCCAAATTTAAGGAGAAAGCAAACACAGTTTTGCAAGCCACGGAGGTCTTGCCATATGTTTTATTAGTGCTTAAGAAACAAGGTAAGCAACTCACAGTACAAACTGATTTATCACCCAGAAGGGCTATCTCCAGCCCCCCCCCCCGAATCCCTTCAGTTCACATGAGAGTCACCAGTTACAGAGATGCTATATTTTTTCTATCCTGCTCTATGGAGTAGAGAGTTGGTCTCTGACAGAAGGCCACCTGAAGAGACTAGAAACATTTGAAATGTGGATTTACAGGCGGCTGTTACGTAGAAGCTGGGTTGACAAGATCAGAAATGAGGAGGTGATAAGCCGCCTGGGAAAGCCAAGGGAAATCATCAAAACAATTAAAAAACGAAAATTAGAATATTTCGGACATGTGATGCGACACCCAGAAAAACACGGCCTACTCCATTTAATCCTCCAGGGAAAGATTGAAGGCAAACGAGGTCCAGGCAGAAGAAGAACATCGTGGCTTCAAAATCTAAGGTCCTGGTTTGGACAAAACTCAGCAGCACTTTTTTGTGCGGCTATTGATAAAAACAGGATCTCCAACATGATCGCCAACGTCCGATAACGGATATGGCAGAAGAAGAAGAAGAAGTTACAGAGAGAGCAGAGATGGCTTACATTCAGCGGCCATGAAGATTACGAAACGGTGGATTCATTGTAACTGCATTGCTTTAGTATAGATTAAAGCTGCCGTTAAGGGGAATCAGGAATGAAGCATTCTATCAAGATCTGCATTTAGCGACATATATTCTGCAGTGTTGAGATTCAAATAGGTGAACAACCGGTTCTCTGTGTGGATGTTGCTTCCGGAAGTCCGTTCTGGGCCTGGGCAACAAAAAAATTAGCTACCGGTTCTGCCAAACTGGTGCAAACCGGCTGAATCCCACCACTGATATTCTGGCAACGTTAATGGACACCGCGTCGCTAACTCTTCAGAGTCTCGTGCACCGAGCATTTTGCCTTAATGAGCCTATCTGGATTCCACTTTTTTTAAAAGAAGAAGCAATTGCCATTTAAAACGGATTCTATACTGGGATTCTCATGTAACAGTGAAGCAAGCTGGGTATGCCGAGTCTCGTCTTCCATTCAGACAAGCATTTCACAAAAAAGCTGTTGATTTTGG